TTGCTGCTGCTGCTTCTGCTGCTGCTGCTGCTGCTGCTGCTGCTGCTGCTGCTGCTTGGTTGCGCAAGATAATGGTGAAGCTGCGCCAGACGACGCAATTCTCCCCAGCGGCCCCAGCAAGAAGAAGGGGGGGGCCCCTCCGTCCATGTCTGTTGCTGCTGCTGCTGCTGGCGCTGCTGCTGCTGCAGCTGCAGCTGCATCTACAACGAAGCTGTTGCTGCTGCAGCAAAGGGAGAAACTGGCTTCCGATGGTGGAGGGTGTGGCTGCCCGCTGCTGCTTCTGCTGCTGCTCCTGCTGCTGTTCATGCTGCTGCTGCAGCAGCGGGTGCTATGGCTGCTGCTGCCGTTGCACGTGCTGCTGCAAGTGCTGCTGCTGCTGCTGCTGCTGCGGAGGCAGTGACCGCAGGAGAGGTGGGGGAGGCGCGGGAAGCCACAAGGACCAGCAGCAGCAGCGCAGCAGCCAGCAGCAGCAGCAGCGCAGCAGCCAGCAGCAGCAGGGCACCGCCAACCCCACGCCCAACCCCTTCCTGCTGCTTCAGGTCGCCTCCCCACAGCCTGAGGCGTTGCCTCTGCTGCTGCTGAGCAGCTGAGAGACAGACGCACAGGACACAGCAGCCGCTGCTGCTGCTGCTGCTGCTGCTGCCGATGTAGCATTTGCTGCTGCAAACGTTGCAACATTGGTTGCTGCGGCTGTTGCTGCTGCTGTAGCTGTTGCTGCTGCTCCAGCTGTTGCTGCTCCAGCTGTTGTTGCTGCTGCAGCTGCTGTTGCTGCCGCAGCCGTTGTTGCTGCTGCAGCTCCTGTTGCTGTTGCTGCAGCTCCTGTTGTTGCTGCAGCTGCCGTTGCTGCTGCACCTGTTGTTGCTGCTGTACCTGTTGTTGCTGCTGCTGCAGCTGTTGTTGCTGCTGCTGCAGCTGTTGTTGCTGCTGCTGCAGCTGTTGCTGCTGCTGCTGCAGCTGCTGCGCCTGATGCACCCCCAACAAAGCAGCAGCATTGCCCCTGCAATTATTCTCAAAAGCTGCAGCTGCTGCTGGCCCCCGTGCCTCAGGTGCTGCTGCAACTGTTGCTGCTGCTGCTGTTGCTGGTATTGCTTCTGCTGCTGCTGCTGCTGCTGCTGCTTCTGTTTTTAGTGCAGCAGGTGCCGTTGCTGCAGTTGATGTTTCAGATGAGGGCCCACCGGCCTCCTGTACAGTTGTTGCTGCTGTTGCTGGTATTGCTTCTGCTGCTGTTACTGCTGCTGCTGCTGCTGCTGCTTCTTTTCCGCTTGCTGTTCGCAAGGGCACCATATGTAAACAGTCTGCTGCTGCGCGCTGAAGCAGCAGCAGGTGAGCCTGCCCTGTTGCTGCAGCAGCAGCACTGTCCACTGCAGCGACAGCAGCAGCACTTTCTGCTACTGCAGCAGCAGCAGAACACTGTGCTGCTGCAGCAGCAGGAGCAGCCTCACTTCCTGCTGCAGCAGCAGGAGCAGTAGCTTCTGCTGCTGCTGCAGCACTGTCTGCCGCAGCAGCAGCAGTAGCAGCAGCAGCAGCAGCTGCTGCAGCTGCTGCTGCTGCTGCTCCCCAGGGCACTTCCCTGGGCTTTAATTGCTCCGTGGGGCATTTCTTGAGGCCCCACTCCTCCATCAACTTGGCTGGCCATCTGTGTCTCCCAGCAGCAGCAGCAGCAGCAGCAGCTGCTGCTGCTGCTGCTGAAGAAGAAGCAGCAGCAGCAGCCGCAGCAGAGCGCTTCCTCTTCTTCGTTACCTGGCCGCCAGCACCCCCCCCTTCGATCTGCTGCTGCAACACTACGACTCCTCCTGCAGCATCATATCTTAACGGGGAAGCGGAGGCCATAATTTACTGCAGCAGCAGCAGCAGCACCAGCAGCAGCAGCAGCACCAGCAGCAGCAGCCGCAAGGACAGCAGCAAGAGCAGCAACACAGACAGAAGCCACGGAATCAGAAGAGGCGAAGGTAGCTGCAGTTATTGTTGCTGCTACAACCGCCTCAGCTGCTAATGTTGCTGCTGTTCTTTGCTGCTGCTGCTCTTGCTGCTGCTGCTCTTGCTGCCGCTGCTGCTGCTGCTGCTGCTAAGGGTCTTAAACGAGGGCCCCTTCTCACAATACACCCGGACGCGCAGCCACCAAGAAGAAATCTGCAGTGTGCATACACCCCAAATAATATTAACAAACCCTAAAAGAGAGACAAACAAATATAGTAGAGATGCAGCAAGAACAAACAGCAGCATCAGCAGCACAGAAGCAGAAACAAACAGCAGCAGCAGCATAGCAGCACAGCAGATATCAGCAGCAGGAGCAGCAGCAACACAGCACACACACACACACAAGCAACAGCAGCAGCAGCAGCATCACAGCAGCACGGCAAAGCCAAGCAGCAGCAGCAGCAGCAGCAGCACAGCAGCACGGCAGACAAAAGCAGCAGCAGCGACAGCAGCGCAGCAGAGAGAGACCCCAACGCGAAGTTAGGAAGACAGCAGCAGGCTTAAGAAGAATATTGATATTGTCTCTTACTATTTTATTGTAAGGGTCTTAAAGCTGCAAGCAGCAGGTGCCTATACACCCCAAATAAGCAGCTGCCTATACACCCAAAAATAAGCAGCTGCCTATACACTCCAAATAAAGAGGTGCCTGTACACCCCAAAATAAGCAACTCCCTATACACCCAAAAATAAGCAGCTGCCTATACACCCCAAATAGGGAGGTGCCTATACACTCCAAATAAAGAGGTGCCTGTACACCCCAAATAAAGAGGTGCCTGTACACCCCAAACAAAGAGGTGCCTGTACACCCCAAAGAAACGGGTGCCTGTACACCCCAAATAGGGAGGTGCCTATACACCCCAAACAAAGAGGTACCTATACACCCCAAAACGAAGGGGAAGAGGTGCGTATAATACACCTCAGCAGCAGCAGCAAGGCATAGCACCGCTTCGACTGTTGGTTTGCTGCAGCTGCATGATTTGTTTGATGTTTAGAAGAGAAAAGAGACAAAAAAAGCAAAAAAAAAGCTGCCTCCCTCCTGTTGTGAAGACACTCGGGCGTCTAGACCTTGTAGTGTTGCTGCTGCTGCTGCTGCTGCTGCTGTTGCTGCTGCTGTTGCTGTTGCTGTTGCTGCTTCTGCTGCAGCGAGCGCCCGTGTCGGTGTCTTCGTAAGACAAGTAGAAAATGCAAAGATTAAATAAACAAAACAGAATAGCAGAGGGGGATGTGCAGCCTGCAACTGATGTATATACACCTCAGCAGGCAGCAGCAAGAGACACCAAAGACCATTGGTCTTACAGCTGCCTGTACACCCGGAGGCCTGAGTATAGTTTGAAAGACTGTAAAGGGTTTATACCCACCGAATCAAACTCTGAAACAAGAAGAAGATGCATTTAAAGGAGAGTTGCTGCTGCTGCAGCACCCCGTTGCTGCTGCAGCAGGGGAAGAGAGACTTGTGGGCGCAGCAGCAACAAGATATGCGTAAAGAAGCGTAGAAACACCTTTACAGGTCTTCTAAAGAGTAAAACATCCGTAAAGAACGAAAAAAGCAGAAAAATATAACATTTTATAACTTCTTTGAAGTGTGTAGAGAGCAAGACAATACAGCACCCGCCCAGAGACGCCAGAGAGAGGCAGCGTCTGCCGCTGGGGGGAGAAGATACAGCAGCTTTAATACTCTAAAAGCAGCAATAAACTCGAAAAACAAAATAAATACTCTCTTTTTATTTATCTCTCTACTGTGGAGCTGCTGCTGCTGCAGCATACTGCAGCAACAGCGCAGCAGCAGCAAGAGTAGCAGCAACTGTCGCCCGCCCGACGCACAAGCAGCGAGGCCCTTTTCAGGGTTTGTTTTAAAGCATTTTTTTATTTATTATCCATTTAATTGCATTTTTAAAACCCTTTTAAATGATATTTCTTTTTTCTAGCTCTCCATATCAATACGCCGCTTCACAAGAGCTGCCTATACACCTCAGCGCCGAGAGGAGTACGCCCGCGCCTCGCTGCTGCTTCTTTCCTTCTCTTCAAAGCATTCTTTTAATTTAAAGTTAAATATTTACATGTTTTAATTTTATATTTATTAATATTTTCCCTAAGACGCGCCTCAATTCAGCAGCCAACCAAGCTGCAAGCAGCACCCTCTCCTTCCTTCGGGCCCCTCCTCCCCCAGCCTTCGATATTAATTTATTTTCTTCGTGCGGTGTACGATGCATTAATAAACAGATTTCAATCTTTAAGCGCCACTACCAAAGGGATTAACTTCTAAAGAGAGGAGAGTCTGCCTCCTCCTAGAGGGGGCTGCTAAAGCTCTTCATTCGCTCTTGTTGTTGATGTAGTAGGAATGCTACCGTGTCTTAGTAAGAGGGCTAGACTTGTCTGTCTTTAGTTGTTATTTGTGCTGCAGCTTAGCTTCAGATAGGCTGCAGAAGGCAAGATATATCTTCTGTCTTATATTTATCTTACAGTGGTGGGGCAATCGAGTATGCTGCAATCAAGGGGGTGCATTGCTGCAGGAGCAGCAGCAAGGAGAGCAGCAGCATGGAGAGCAGCAGCAAGGGGAGCAGCAACCCCTAAGGAGAAGAAAAGCCTTCTTCTCTCATATGCATCAGCAGCGGGCCCATCTGCCTTTGAGTGCAGGAAGTTGAATGTCTGGAGAAGGAAGCAGCTGCTTCTTCGAGTAAACACTTCTCTTGTAAATATATTTACTCTTAATTGGGGTTATAGAAGAAAAACAAAAACAAAAACAAAAACAAAAAGGCCCTACTATAAGACTAAAAACTCTGATTTTGTTAAGGCACCGCATGTTTAAAAGGGGAGAGCAAGGGCAGCCAACTCAGCTAGCAAAAGTTTTCAGGTATTATCTTTTATATAATTTCTTTGATGAGCGTAAACTTTTTTTCTTCTCGTTTACAGAGAAGATTGATGAACATCTTCCCCTCAAAGGGAAGGCGCCTCTTCTCCTTGTAACGCATGCAGTATCCACCCTTGTTCTTTATAGCTCAGCACAGTGTTTATTTTAACTTTGTCTTTCCTTATCAAAGACTTCTTTGCTGATATATTCAACAAATGAAAAAAAAACTTTCAGAGGGCTCCCGACCCTCTGGGTGCTCAATGCCCCGCAGCGAAGTCTCAAATGGCGCACCTCTCCCCTCTGTTCTCAAATACAAACTCCCCACAGGCACTAAATATACATATATATATATATATTTATATATTTATTTACATTTATATGTATATATCATAAATATAGGTATATATGTATGTATATATACATGTATATGCATATATATATATATGCATATATATATATATATATATGTGTGTGTAATCGGCTGACAAGAAGAAAAAGCGAAAAAAAGAAGTTTAAACTTCAATGAGAAAGTTGAGGGGAAATCCGTTGATGGGGAAGAGACGGCATTGGAGAAGGGGCATTCGTTTGAGTTTAAATGCATGACTAAAATGGAGGTGAAGCAAACGCATGCAGAGCTCTTCTTCGATGGAGTGCAGCTTCCTGAACTCTTTGATTGCTTGCAAGGTTTATCAATTTATTCATTATTTTTCTATCTTCTAATGCATACTTATGACAGCCTATAAACTGCACTTCACTTACACTCCCATTCGCAAACTCTAAACTAAAAGACATGTAAATGCCTCTACCTGGGGAGACTCCATCAACAGAACAGCTACGGTGGCAGCGCCTCTTAATTGTTTTTTGCAGCTGCACTCTGTAGGTGGTGCCGTTGTTAGTTTCTCCTAAGGAGGCACTAAGGAGACACTAGGAGAGTCAATCGTAACGCGTTAAATTTCTTTGATTTGTTTGAGGGGTTTCCGCGCCTACAGCCTCTTTGCTAAACTCTCCAGCAAAAACTGAGAGAAAGGAAGTGGATACTGCCGGGAGGCCACTAAACTACGAACCCTAAACCCTAAACCGCAAACCCTAAATCCTAAATCCTTAAAAGAGCGAGCGGTGCAGTTGCAGCAGCAGCAGCAGCAGCGCCAGTCGGAGTATCGAGAAAAGGAGCGGGAAGCTCCCCCACAGCCAGAGTGCATCAATACCAACAGCATCAGCAGCAACAGCAGCATCAGCACAATATCAGCGGCAGAACTCGCTGGAGATAAGCAGCAGGAGCTGCTTCCGATGTACCAGGGCGCAGTGAAGGTCAGTCCTTCTTGTGCAGCTGTGGATACACCTCAGCGACTAGAGTTGCAACACGAAGAGATGCAGCCGCAAGACACGCAAGATATGCACGCCGAGAGAAACAGATCAAATGGCTGAGACAACACCAGATGCAGCAGAAGCAGAGCCCGCAGCAGCACCAAGGAGCTGCAGCAGCAGCAGCAGCTGGTGCAGCACAAAGGCCTGTAGCCACCATAGTAGAGCTAGAGCTAGAGCTTTGCATCTCCTGAGCAACTGTTGCAGCCCAAGTATGCAATGCTGTCGCTATCTTCGTAATTATTAATTAGCAACAACCCTAAAGATTGGCAGGACCCCTAAAAGCACATCAAGTAGAACAGTTAGTATCTTGAGAACCCACTTGTTTGATTGTATTGCAAGCAATTCTCTTCTTTTGTTAAAGTTTGCAGCTGAGAGACAAGGAAGCGCTCACCAGTTATCTGCGCATGCATGCATGAAAAGGGCCTTTAAGTATTTGTTCTGTGTGCATGTGCTATCTCCCTATACATTCCAGAAGACATTCCCCTTTAAACTATTTTATAAACAAATCCAGAAAAAAACCGAAGAAAACAACAAAAGGAAGCAATAAGTGCAAGTGCTATAATATTAATACTAACTCTAATCCTAGTAATAATAATATTATTATTTTATTTTTATTATATGAATCTAACAGCAGTATTTAAGTGTAGAGATGCATATGCTGTGTTCGTAGTTTAAAGTAGAAAGCTGCTTTAATTTGAATGCATGGTAAATACATAATTCTTTAGAGTTAACAGCAATTAACATGCTTCATTTTATATATAATTATTTTATTTTTTTAAGTTGAAAACTTCTTAAAGAGAGAGGGTTGGGTGAAGGAGCAAACTTGTCTTGCTGCACCCCCGCTGCAAGTGTAGGTGTGTTGATCAGCTTTTTTTTTGTATTTTTGTGTTCAAATATAATAAACTAATTAAATATTTTATTTAGTTTATTTGTTATATTTAAATATAAAAGTATACGTTCAATAACCAACACAAAAAGATATAACCGCCCAGCTGCTCCCAGCAGCACCGCGGGGTGTATAGACAGCGACAGACAGAAAAAAAATTTTGCTACTTGTTTGTTGCAGGGGAAGCAATTCCTTTTAACATTATTTTCTAAATAAATAAAATAAATAAATAAATAATAAATGGGTTTGGTGGTCTCGTTCTCTTACCCGAAATACGTAGGTGTACAGACAAGCATACGCACCCAGCTGTATATATATATATATATATATAATACGTCTGTATATATATATGCATCTATATATCGATATATACACATATATATCTACATATGTAGTTTCTGTTTGCTTAAACGAAAGAGAAATAAACGAAGAAAATAAACAAATGAATAATGCAAAAAAGTATATAAGACATAGGGGGAGCAAGCAGCTGCATGTACACCTGGAGAGAGAGAGAGAGAGAGCGTCCTCAACAGCAGCAGCCAAACCCTAGACCCTAAACCCTCAACAGAGTAGATGCAACGGAGATATTTACATGCTCCCTCTAGCCGTAGCTAGCCGTAGCTAGCTGTTTCTAACTGCAGCCACTTGCTGCACCTGCAGGAGAGGTTCTTGCGGGGTCTGAATTAATTAGGGTTTAGGGCTTAGGGTTTAGGGTTTAGGGTTTAGGGTTTGTAGTAGTAAATATCAATACCCCTCAAAGGACGCCTTCTGCTGCAGTTTGCCGTTTGTTGTTGATATCTACGATAAGGGTCTATCTGCATAAATTATATATTTATAGGTATATGTATATATATATATATTTATACTTATCTATATATGTATATATTTAAATGTGAGGCTACTGGAGATAAAACCTAAAAGTTTTTTTGTTATTGTTTCGCTCTGAGAATAAACTCATCCAGGTGTATGCGCAGTATCATATATAAATATACCTTACATATATACATAAACATATATATATACATATATATATGTATATATATTCATACACACATATATATTCGTACATACACACAAATATATATGTATATATAAATATATGCATATATACGTTTGAATGCCTATAATGTATATATATATATATGTGTGTGTATTTATATTTGCATATGGATATGCATCTACAAATATATATATATATATACATATATACATATACATATATATATATATATATGCATAGAAATACCGAGTCGAAGAAAAACAAAAAAACGAACAGTGCAGCACAACATTAGACATGCCTATATAAAGAAGAGACAAATAAAGAAAGAAGAAACAATTAAATAGAAAAGATTAAGAGACAATTACAGACAAATAAACAAAAAAGAAGAGACAGTTAAACAACATAAATTAATTTGTCGTTTATTTATTTATTTCTTTTCCTCCCCTCCTTTTTTTCTGTTGTCTGTTTCTTCGTCTCAGTCTGTCTCTCTTTCCCCCTTATAAATATGTAAATATACATATATATATATATATTTATATATATTTATATTTATATATATGCTAACATATTATATATATTATATTACATAATATTTATGTGCGTATATGCATATTTATTCTCTTTCCATGTACATAAATATATATATATATATATGCATATATATATCTGTATGTATATATATATATATGTATATATATATGTATAAATACATATGTATATATATATGTATGTATATGTATATATATGTATATATGTACTTACTAAATATATACATCAATGTATACATATATATATATATATATTATATGCTCCTCATAATATTCATATACATGCACATAATATATAATAGAAATAATAAGCAATATATATAAAATAAAGTATATACAATTTGTATAAGTGGTACACACACTATAAATATATATATATATATATTGTATATATATATACAATATATATATATATATTGTACATATATATACAATATATATATATATATTGTATATATATACAATATATATATATATATATATTGTACATATATATTGTACATATATATATATTGTGTATATTATAGAATGCATATGGTGCATATGATGTATGTGCAATTTATAAAAAACATAATACAAGTAATCCATATAAATAATACATATAAATAAAATATATATAAATAATATATAAATATATATATTTTATAGATTATAGAATATATAATCTATAAAATAATATAAACACCGTCGGGGGAGTTTTGTTTGTTCTGCAGCCAGCGAAGCACCACCACCAACTATCTCTTCTTGTCTTGTCTGTACCTTTGTCTATTTGTTTATTGTATTGTTTGTTTATTATATTTGTTTTATTATATTTATTTATAGTATTTGTTTGTTTTATTTGTCTATAATATTTGTTGGTTTCATCCGTTCATTCTATTTGATTATTTTATTTGTTTATCTGTTTATTGTATTTGTTTATACTATTGAATAACTTAACAAAGACAAGCAAAATAACAAATTAAAAGAATAAAATTTAAGTAAAATAGAGTTAAGGAGAAACAACAACAGCTTTCTGATAGCTCCGTTGCGTACACAGCCAACTACAGAAACAACCTGCAAGAAATGCATGCAGAAGAAAACATAAAAATAATAAATAATCTTGAGGGGCCCCCTTAAATGCCTCCCACATATTCTGAGGGTCAAACCCCGTGTACCCATCGGGGGGCCCAATGCTCACTACGTTCTGCAAACGACGTACAGGGGCCCCCTGGGGGGACCCCCCAACGATGGCCCCCTGGGGGCCCCCCCCAAAGAGAACCCCCTGGGGGGCCCCCCCAAAGAAGGCCCCCTCATTGGGGGGGGCCCCTTCAAGTAGGGGCCCCCCAAAGAGGGCCCCCTCATGGGGGGCCCCTTCAAGGGGGAGGCCCCCAAAGAGGGTCCCCTCATGGGGCTCCCCCATTAAAAGGGCCCCCTTAGTGGGGGCCCCCAATATATGGGTACCAGGGGAGCCACCTAGGGGGCCCCCTATATCATAATTATGTAAGGGGCCCCCACCAGATGCAGCATCATTCAGCTGCTCCAGCAAAGCAGACATTACGCTGTAAATGCAATATGCAAATAATAATAACGAAAGACAAACACTAACAACTACAAACACCAAAGGCAGCCGCCTCTCCCACCTTCGGTACCAATCCAATAACATTGAAGATAGGGGGCCCCCATAGGGGCCCCCCTGCCTCCTGCGGTCCTTCTGAGGCTTTACCTTGCGTCGAGGCAGCAGCAACGGAGGCCTCTTCTCCGCCTCAGGCACTGCGGTGTACGTACACCTGAGCCCCCTGCTACAGCAAGGGGGCCCAGCCGCAATGGCTGAGTGAACTTCAACTTCTCTATACCCTCTTCTGCTGGGGGGGCCCCCAAGGGGCCCCACGGAGGAGCTTTGAGGGGCCCCCAAGCTCAACCTTGTCCCTACTTGGGGTGTAGCAGTGAGGCGATTCATCTGCTGCGGTGTATACTGTATATCACCATATATATGTATGTATGTACATATAAGTATATAATATATAATATATGCATATATATTATATTACTTGGGGGCTGATGAGAAGATTACTACATTTGCATGGGTTTGTCTGTCTTTACACTCGCACAGATGAAGAACAAGAGAGAGAGCAGCAACTGTAGCTTTAATTATAGCCTGGGGTGTCTCGCATCCCTTTCTCAGCAGCAGCAGCAGCAGCAACAGCTACTGCTACTGCTGTTGCTGCTGCTACTGCTGCTGCTGCTGTTGCTGCTGCTGTTGCTGTTACTGCTGTTGCTGCAGCTTTTGTTTCTGTTGCTGCTGAGGCCCAGTGGCGGTTGGAGTGCGCAGCAGCAGCAGCCTCCTCACCGTGAGTACGAAGGAGGTGAGCAGTCAAAAGAAGAAAGAATACAATTCGTGAAAACAAATATAAAGTAAAGACTTAGCTTTGAGATGTCTGCGCACCTCAGCAAGCAGCAGAAGAACAGCTGCAGCAGCAACGAGACGCGTACTGAAGGAGAAAGCTGAGGTCTGCAGGGGTGGCTTTGTTTAAAGACAAACAAAATATGAGGGTAAATAATAATTGAAAACAAAAATAAACATAAATAAGCATTTTATTTGCTGTCTCTATACAAACTTACTCCAGGAACGCAGGCTGTCACTGCTGCTCTTATCTCGAGATCAGTGTATGCTCAGCAGCAGCAGACCCTCTCAGGGATCTTAGCAAAAAATGGAGATTTTATGTTGATTTAAACATTGAAAATGAAAAACAAATTAACTTTTAAATTAAAATCCAAAAGAAATTGAATAAAATCCTTTAAATTCTCCTACAACGAGCACTGCTCGTATGTTTGGACCCCTGTGCTCGCGGTGCCGTCTGTAGGTGTTGCAATACAGAATAAAAAGTGGAGAATGAAAAAGAAAATATTTTTTTGTGGATTAAAAGGGCTTAAATAAGCCAATAAGTTCCGAAAAAAGGGTTTTTAGGAGAATAAATTTTGCGTGAAAAAAACGAAGCTGCAAGTACAGGCGAGACCTATACGCCGTTCGTATCGCCTGGGGGTGCAGTATGTCTTCACCACATCAATTAAACTTACTTGGCTGGCGCTCGGGGTGGCTCCGGCATCACCCTGTCGTAGCTATGAGCAGCGCATTGCACTCAGCGGCCTGTGATTGGCTAGGCCCGCCCCTAGAGGGTGGCTCCACAGCAGAATTTCTGGTCAGCAGTTCGTGTTCGCGCGGCTGCTAACGAAGAATAAAAATGTATATATATACATTGACTTGTGGACATTCTGAGTGTCTTTATTTCGAATATGTTTATGTTTCCTTTTTTTATGTTGTCTTCTGTGGTTTTGTTGCTTTTTAATTGTAACTGTCCTTATTTTGTTTGTTTTTGTTTGCTGTACTCTGCTTTCCGGAGGCCATTGCCTTATACCGGCGAACATAGATGAATGTTTTCTCGGATATCATTTTTTTGTCTTGGGTTTCTGCATGTCTTTGTCTTTACGTAAATTCTTGTCTTAGTTTATTTATTTGTCTTTGTTTATTATTTGTCTTTTTATCCTTTTATTTGTCTTCATGTCTTCGTCTTCATATTTTGGGTGTTGTTGCTGCTCTTCGCTCTTTGGCTTTTTGTGCGGTTGTCTCTGTGCGCTCTGCTCTTTTCTCTAAATTCTGTCAATATTTTGTTGTTTGTTTGTTTGGTTATAATTTCCTGCGTTCTTTTTTTGAACTTTCGCTGGGCTGGACTTCGTTATTTGGTCTGTCTGTCTGAATACACCATACTAAGCTGCACACATGCGGCGCCTTATTCAGAGATCAATATATACATTGAGAGTTTAGGGCTCTTGCAGACACGGGGTACATAAAGACATATATATATATATATATATATATATATAATATATATATATAATATA